ATTGGAAAAATAGGATTATATATAGTAATATATTATAGTATGATTAATAAAAATAACATAATGGATTCCTTCCTTACTATTTTTGTTTCAGACTTTCCCTGCACTCACATAGAGGCCATTAAGTAGACCTATTTTCTGCTCACATTTGGAGGGTTCTTGTTCAGAAGCTCCAAGTGAAGATTTCTAAGTTTTCAAAAATATGCCAAAGTGAATGATCTTAAGTATAAAATCACACCTAAAGTGTGCCTCAGTAAAATCCTGTTTGTTTGGGGTTTTTTCCCAAAACCCGCTACCTAAGTAAAAACCATCAACCTCTTCATTGATGTTATCAAGGGAAAAAGCAACTTTATCCTTCTCCATTAGGATTTTACACAAATATAACGATGTCAGTACCTTTACAATGAGAATAAAGACTTTCAGTCTTTGGCCCAATTCAGAAAAGACAACTCTTGTTCTAATCTCTTATGATCCAAAGATGCCAAGTAGGCTTGAAACTTGTTGTTGATAAACAGACAAAGTTTATCATCCATGATAAACAGAAGAGGTAACAACGAGCTTAACTGATGGAAGAGAAACTTTTTACGTCTCAAGAAATACTGTCTTAAGCAATTCTGAAAACTCTTCAAGACTTGCACCTGTAAAATATTGCACACAAAGAGTGACAGGCACTAGGTACTGTGGTGAAAACTGTAGTTAAGTACCATAGATTATTTAGCCTATACTTTGTCAGGGCCTGGAAGCAGTTACAGCAAGAGTTTATACACATCTGTCCAGCAAGAAGTGAAGTAGCTTAGAATTCACTGTCCTATGTCTATTTACATGTTTAATCCAAATTCTATCCACATTAATCTATCATTAAAAACATACATACCCAGGTGGCAGAAACAGACAGTAGATGGAGTGGTTCTGAAGACAGCAGAAATTTCAAAACAATTTCTTATCGAGCAGACTTCTGATTTGTTTTTTGAAGTTTGGAGAATTTTGCTTCAAGAACTCTTGAAATTAATTCTGAAATTATTATTTTATAACATCTTACCATTATTTGAAATAGGTAATAAACAATATTTAAACCAATTTAAGAAGGATTATTTTCAGAACTTCAAGAAATCTTTCAGAAGTATGCAGTATGCTTCCTCAGAACAACATGGGAATTTTCCATAACCAACAAAATTCCAGGTTCAAGCCAGCTATCATCAACAGTTCTGGATAAACAGATAACATTATTCCCCCAGATCACCAATAAATCTTGTAGAAGACCATCTTTCTTTTAAGCACTGCTAACCAAACTTCTTGTCAGAGGACATATTGTCACATTTATAAGGCAGCTGTGGGAAAGGGAACTCATGGAACGCCTCTCAGATGAGCATGAGAGGCGATGCTGCCTGAAACCATCATTACTGCACCGTGAGGTGGAGCTCCCACAGATTTTCAGAGGAATTTGAGTTCAGATTATCAAAGAATTCTGAATCTACTCCCATCTCAATTGCCAGTCACATAGTGTATGTCCCTGTAATAGTAACCAGACACTAAAGATTACAAGATACTTGCAGCTCAATAGCCCATATGTTTGTCATCACTGCTCCAGATTTTCAAGCCAGGAGAGCAATATCAATTTACTGTTCTTACAATGGCAAATTTTATAGCTCATAGGTCTATCAAGAGCTAAAGAGTATAAAAGTAATTCAGTAAATTCACTTGAGTGTAAAGCTAAGCCTTCCTCTATCATCACAGGTGTATACAACCTCTGAAAGAAACCATGTGAACAGAAAAGTTTACCATGACATTTGGCAAAATCAGTCGCTGAAGCAGTTCTTAGATCACTCCATAAAGAAGTGAATTATTGAGTTGTCAACTAATTTTCCATAAGAGACTATAACAGAGATCAATATATTTATTTTTTTTAGAAACTGCACCAGGAGGTGTTACTATTTCTTAAACTTAAAAGAACAAAGTTGTCAATAATATAATATGCCATTGTAAGTCAGTACCAGATGGTAGAGTGATTTCTCTAATGTCCTGTTTAATTATGAGTAACCACAAACACAGAAAAACACAGTCAAAAAAGAAAAAGAGGGTATGTAGCTACATTAAACAGAGGTCATTATCTCAATTCTATTCTTCCCCAATTTATTTCCTAGGACAAACCAGAAGGAAAATAGAGTTCTTCATTTTTAGAAACCAGTATTTAGATACTAGTAATTAGTGCTAGCTCTTCTTCATGGTTTTCCACATCATGAGCCAGATTCTTCCATCATTACTCATGCTAAGTATCATCCAACATCATGAAAATATTGCTTTTAATTGTAAACACTCCCAGCTGAACTACCTAATCAAAATTCATCGTAGCAGGGCTTGAATTCATTATTTCACATACTGGAAAGAGTTTCAGAGGTAATGAATGTTAATACTTCTGCTTCTTTTGCTCTTGATCCAGTGGTGGCTGTGGGGGCAGTTCAGATTTCCTATTTGTACCCTGCCATAAGGTATCCATTCTGTAGCAGTTCAGGTTAGGAGGCAAAGCAGATGTGGAAGGAAGTAGCAGCAAGGTGAAAATGTTCTATATCCATGTATAGATGCTTTTCATCATAGAATACCAGAATCATCAAGGTTGGAAAAGACCTTGAAGATCATCTAGTTCAACCATCAACCTCACACTGAGTGTTCTCAACTCCATCAGATCCCTCAGCTTAACCTGACGCTTAAACCCCTCCAGGAATGGGGACTCCCTCCCTGCCCTGGGCAGCCCATTCCAACGCCCAACAGCCCCTTCTGCAAAGAAATGCTTCCTAAGAGCCAGTCTGGCCCTGCCCTGGTGCAACTTGAGGCCTGGTGGCTGTACAGACTTGAACAACCCTCTGCTCTTCAGGCAAACTACCGGTGGTCTCGGGGCGTGTGCGTTAAGGGCCTTCCCGAGAGGCCTTGATGCAGTGTGCAAGTTGACTCCTGCCAGGAGGGAGCAGCTGTCCTCTCGGAGGCAGGCAGGGGAACCGGGGAGACCTGAGGGGCTTTTCTGCCAACAGAGAGGCAACGAGGAAGGAAAGCGGGTAGAGAGGCTCCAAAAGAGAGCTCGGCGGCAGTGCTTTGTCCTTCTGTTCTTGACTGCTGTGACTGGGAAGACCCGAGGTGTGGACATGGCCAGAGCAGCTTGTGCTCTTCAGGGGGATTGCGATGGGCGCTCCGAGACACTCCCCAGCACTGGAGCTCCAGTGGAGCTGCCCAAAGAGCTGTGGGCATGCACAGCCCCACTCTGAACCCAGGGGCTTGTTCCCTGGCGCCCTTCACCTCTGTCGGCATCAAGCTCACGGAGCTCCATAACACCCAGGCATCGGAAGGCCAAGCGAAATCTCAGCAAGCCTGGGGAGGAGGAAACCCCGAGCACCAGTTCTTCGGCTTGGAAAGTGGCTGGTAGAAGAGGATGGCCGAGGCCACTGGGAAGCCTCTAGTCCCTCTCAGCAGTGTCAGCCTGCTAGTATCGCAGAAGGGCTTCTGGGGGTGACAGGTTTTTCTCTTGGCCCTGAACTGAATTTGGCACCTGGATTCTCCGACACTGGACTTTGCATTCCTTTCTTCCTACTCTGGCTGTGCTTCAGGCACCGTCTGTTTTCTGTCTGGCTGTCGCAGGTGAATTATTCTGAGAAGTAATCATTGTGGGGTTAACCAGAAGGCTTTTATTAGTGATTAAGCGATGGTTGAGTGATAATTAATCGATGGATGAACAAAAAGCAAATGGTAATCGAATGGTGATTAAGCACACATTGAACGGTAATGAGAATCATAGAATCATGAATGTTGCAAAAGACCCTTGAGATCATCGAGCCCGACCGTTAACCTAACGCTGCCAAGTCCACCACTAAAGCATGTCCCTAAGTGCCGTGGCTACATGTGCTTTGAATACCTGCAGGCGTGGGGACTCAACACTCCCCTGGGCGCCTGTTGCAGTGCTTGACAAAACTCAGCCCATCCACTCAGCTGGTGCAGATCCCTCTGCAGAGCCTCCTGACCCGCAAACAGACCAACACTCCCACCCATCGCCTCCGAAGCTGCCCCACAGCCACTTGCCCTTTCCTACCCCACCAAGGACAGGCTCACGCTGACTCTGAAAGGCAGTTTATTGCCATGGGAAAAGGCCGTTTCTGCCGTGACTCCCCAGCTTGCTGTCCCGCTGCTTTTTGCTCTGGAGGCAGCACATCAAAGCTCTGAGGAGGTCAGGGGAAAGATGTTGGGCCACCTGTGACATTTTGGTGCCGGCCTGAGGCCCTGTGCTGTGCCCCGGCCACCCACCGCCTCTGAGCCCAAGCCAGGCTTCAAAGGTCGCTTCTGCCCTTGTACCGGGGAGCCCAGAGCCAGTGTCGGGGCTGCAGATGCAGCCTCAGCCGGGCGGCGCGGAGGAAGGATCCCCTTCCCCGAGCCGCTGGCAGCGCTCCCGGGGCCGAGGGCAGGAGCAGAGGTTTCCCTTGGCCGGGGCTGGAGCCCTGGGGCCGCACGGCCCGAAGAGCAGCGTTCGGCCAGCAGTGCCCCCCTTGCCGGCTGCCCCGCGGGACCTGCCGTTTGGCTCTGCTCTTGCTGCAGGAGCAGCCGCCCCGGTGACGCGGGGCCGAGGGCTCGGGCCCAGCCCCGGCACGTCGCACCCACCCCTGTGTGGCGGCGGCCGTCTCGGAGCGGGTGGAGGAGGCCGAGGCCACCCCTGCCCGCATCAGCGGCACGTGCAGGCCAGAGGTCGTGATGTCACTGTGCTCACAGGGACCAGCTGTGCCCATGTTTGGGGATGCTGGTGTCACCATGGACACGGTGACTCAGAGGGGCAACCGGGCTCAGGTGTGTCAGTGCGACCTGGAGAGGTGAGGAGAGCGCAGGGGAGGGACGGGGCTCGGGCCGGACATCGCTGCCGAGGCAGGAGGGGGCCCCACGCCTCGGGGCGCTGGGCCTGTGCTGCGAGCTCACCTGTGCCCTGCTTGTCCCTCAGAGTCAGCCAGGAAGCGCCTGGGAGAGACACGCCAGTACTGCTGGGACAGTGGCTCTCCCAACTGTCACAGTCAATGTGCACCATGTCTGGGAGAAAGCGGGAGGCCCCCGACTCGATGGAGCAGGGTGAGAGCAAAGTATCCCTCCCGCAGCAGAGCAGGGGTGTTGGGGCGCTCAGCGCGGGCCCTGGCAGGGGAGGCAGGAGCTCCCCAGCGGCCCCGGGGCAGGGCCCCTCCTGCCCGCGGCGAGCGGGCCGGCTGGGCAGTGGGCGCCAGCTGGGACAGCCCTGCCTGCCATGCCCCTTGCTGGCCACGGCCCCCCGCCCTGCCCTTCGGCCCGCCAGGGACAGAGCAGGCCCTCGGGCCAGTCCCTCAGGGACGCTTCCCCCGGCCCGCAGAGGTGCTCATTCCCGGTGGCGTTTGCTCTCTCCCCTCCAGCGTGCGTGCTGTGTGGCCGGGCAGCGGCGGACCCGGATATCTGCGGGCACAAAATCCAGCAGCACGGCCTCTGTGCCCACGTGTTTTGCCTGGTGAGTGCCCCCGGGGCTCCCTCCAGCTGGCCGACAGGCAGTCCCGGCCACGCTCTCCTCATCAGCTCCTCATCTCTTCTCTTCTGCAGTTTTTTGCCAACAAGCTTTCGCAGCAACCGCTGGAGGATGTGGGCCTGATGGGATTTCTCCCAGAGGATATCCGCCGCACGATCGAGCGGGCAGCGCAGCAGGTGAGGACCTGGCCAGGTCAGGGAGATCTGTGCCAGGAGATGTTTGTGGGAGCTTAGCCTAGACCCCAAGGAAGAAATCCCAGCCCCTCCAACCAGCTCTGGGACAAAAGCCTTGCTCCCGGCAGCTCCACAGAGGCTCCAGCCCAGCAGCTGCGTGTGCCGGGTGGATCTGTAGGCTGTGACCCAGCGGCGGCCACATGCTGCCCCCTGCCCGGAGGCGTGGGGCTGGCTGGGGAGGCGTGAGGCTGCCGCTGACGGGGCTGCTCTGCTCTTTCCAGCAATGCTTCGTCTGTGGCAAGAGCGGGGCTGCCACAACCTGCTGCCGGGAGGGCTGCGACCGCAGCTTCCATCTGCCCTGTACCACGGAGGGAGGATGCGTGACGCAGTTCTTTTTCCAGTACAGGTACCTCCTCTCCTCTCCCCTCCTAACCTGCCATCAGGGAAGGACCCAGCGCTTCTCACTCCGCCCATCCCTTTCCTTTCCCCCCAGGTCCTTCTGTGGGGAGCACAGCCCAGAGCAGGCAGTGGAGGCAGCTCCAGAGAAGGACACCACCTGCCTCCTCTGCCTGGAGCTTGTCGGGGACAGAAAGTCCTACGGCACCATGGTGTGCCCAGCGTGCAAGCACGCCTGGTTCCACAGGGGCTGCATCCAGGTAGGAGCCTCTCTCTCTCCCCCGGGGCACGGCAGGTGCTCAGCAGCACCAGGGCCTCACTCCTGCTCCCTACATTTCTGCTGCAGGGACAGGCTGTGCGCGATGGCATTTCTTGTTTCCGGTGCCCGCTCTGTAGGGACAGGGATGCATTTTCTTCAGAAATGCTGAGCATGGGCATCCGCATCCCCTTCAGGTTGGTGTCCTGCCCAGCTCCCCAGACAGGAGGCTGGGAGTGCTGTGCCATGCCAGGGACTGCCCCTGCGGTCCTGGCCCTCTGCTGCCCCGTGAGCCTGGGCTGCAGCTTCACCAAGCTGGAAGCCGGGCAGGGGTGCAAGAGCAGGGATGCTCTACATCTGCCTTGTGCTGGGGCAGCAGCGGCTCAGCAATTTTCCTTTCTCCATCAGTTTGCCATCGCAGGACCCCCACGCATATGATGATCTCAGTGAGAGGCACAGCCGCTGCGATGCCTGTGAGTGCCTGTGCCCAGGAGGCAGGGAGCAGGCAGAGGCACAGGGGTAAGTTGCCCTTGTGGCACCCCGGGCTCTGCACGGGATCTCTCTCTCACCGACAGCTCCAAGCGGAAGGACTGAGAACAAGAGCTGTGCTGGACAATCCCGTGCTGCGGTCACTTTGTCCTCACAGCCATGAACCCCTTTGCTTCCCCAGGCCCTGGGAATTGCTCCTGTGCTGCTCCTGCGCTGCCGAGGGCACTCACAGATGCTGCTCCCGCCTGAGGACCACCACAGCCAGCTGGGAGTGCAACAGCTGTGCTGGCCTGGGCACCGGTAAGAGGCAAAGCACCCGGGTGGGTGCCCCTGGGCTGGGGCCAGGGCCCAGGCAAGGCCTGGCAGCCGGTGCCCAGACTGGGCTTGGCAGAGCCTCTCCACTCCAGGAGGGCTGGGGGCACCGCTCTGGCCTCTCCTGCCAGAGAGGCCTGGGGGGCCATGCCCCTGACCTTCCCCCTTCCCTTACAGCCTCCAGTGGCAGCTCAGAGCTCACCAGCCCCAGCACTAGTAGCCAGTTGGCACTGGGACAGTTCCACAGCACCCTGACACCCAAGAGCAGCTGCCCCAGCAGCACCAGACAGGCAGCATCACAGAATCACAGAATCCTCTAGGTTGGAAAAGACCTTGAATCTAGTCTAACCATTAACCTCACACTGACCGTTCCCAACTCCACCAGATCCCTCAGCTCTGTGTCAGCCAGACTCTTCAACTCCTCCAGGGATGGGGACTCCACCACTGCCCCGGGCAGCCCATTCCAATGCCCAACAGCCCCTTCTGGAAAGAAATCCTTCCTAATATCCAGTCTAAACCTTCCCTGGCTCATCCTTAACATCCCAACAATAACAATAAGAAACAAATATGTAATTCCTCATCTAAACCCTGAACTGTCTTATCTAAAGAGAATTTTTTGAAAATCCTTCTTTTTCACACACTTACATTTAATACATATTTTTAAATTAAAGCAATGTTTTAAATACTTGAATAAGTATATATTTATTTATAGCATGACTGTACTTTGAAAAAGACAGTATATGGGTGATAAAAGGAATTCTCCTTCCTACGTGCATAGTGCTTATGCCTGGATTTAGAAAGTAACAATTTCCCCTAACAAATTGATTATGAGGCTCTGGCTTGTAAAGAAATAAGTTAAAACTCATCCTTTGCCACTTCACAATGTATTGTGTTCTGTTCTCAGTAATTGCAATTAGCACAAGCATTAAACATTTAACTTTTTGTCTACAAAATCTATGACTGACCAGTGCAATTCTGTTGAAAGACATTTTCTAACAAACAGTTTTTCTGTGAACTTCTAAACTTATTAGAACACTCTTCACATTTTCTCCTCATAACTTGTACAGATACTTCCTGTCCAAACTCTCTCATCCTTCTAGTAACCTTTTGGAGACATCTAATACTGGTTTGAGCTGTAGACTATATCAACAGAGCACACCAAAAGATGAACCTTACTCAGTATCTTAACAGTGTTGTGTAAAGCAAGCAATGCCAATTTTCTTGATCCAACTGCTTTTTCTTACCACCCCTCTCTATAGACATCTGCTTTCTTTCCCTTTCCCTTGCATTCCTCTTTGTTGTACAGACCATTGTCCTGAAGACACTATGAAAAGTCACTCTCTGGAAGGCTCTGTCACCTCTTCATGTAGCTCTTCTCCCGAGCTGTCACACATCCCACAATTTAATCCTATCTGGGAGTGCAGTTAAATTTTTGTTAAGACCTTACTGGCTAAAGCAGCACATAAATGCAATAGTTTTGGATCCAACTATCCTTCATCCAATCTCTCTTTTTGTAGATATTCTGGTATTTTAGAAACCAAAGCAGTTGCTACCAAGTCAGCTGAAAATGAAACAGAAAAGAATGAAATTAAACACAAAGGAACAAAAGCAGTGCCTCACTGCTGCTAACAGAACTCTTCCACAGCTGTATGTTTCATAAGGGAGCTTAAAGGTGCCTTTGGGATCCTGCTGACAAGGAGAAACACTTCACAGTTTCCTTATTTCTACCACTGCAAAACAATGTGACTTTGTCCTGGTTCAGCTAGGACAGGGTTAAGTTTCCCCAGCAGAGAGGGGGAAGGGATCTCCAGGCGGGCTATTCATACCATGCTGACCTCAGGTCCGGGCACAGGAGCGCGGGAACTTTTTCCTTTGTGGCTTTGGTGGTGGGGAGCACAGGGCTGTCTGTAACCATTGCAGTATTTCTCTGTATATCTTTTGTCTTGCTTACTTATTGCTGTTTATTGTTGTTATCATTGCTACTGTTGTTGTTCAGATTGATTATCACACTGTTGTATTAAATTTCTTATTTTACCCCGGGGTTTGTGCCTCACTGCCAGCCCGACTGGCTGAGAGTGGGGGAGGGGCCACGGCAACGTGCTCTCTGGTCCCAGCAGGACTTAAACCACCACAGACTTGAACCATCTACTGCTTCTGAAAGTACAAAAGGGCCACAAACCATCTGATCTGTACAGGCACCCTGTATGCCCACCCCCACAACCACCACCACACACCCACCTTTATAATCTTCTGGAGTATCTTCCTAAGAGATGACAATTTTAGGGAAAATGTATCAATTTTTTTGGCACTATTCCTTACTGTGCTGACAGCTCTAAAAAATCAGTCCTCTTTTTTCTTTTGACATTTATAATTCTTCCCCAAAGACATTCACTTTGGTACTAAATACAGAATATTCTGTAAGTTTCATTGTTTTGGGGTTTTTTTCTAAAATTTCATTAGATAGTGTAGCATTTCTTCTTCAGAGCCACAGACCAGCATTTTATGAAAATGAAACCAACACTACCAAAATGTAGGTTTTTTCTATATTCTTTCTTTAAGGTTTTATTTATTTTTAACACAGTTATACACCCATACTTACACTGAGCACAGTGTCAGCTATGCAACATGGCTGTGATAGCTTCAGGACAATGTCCTGATGGAGCCCTCAATCCCACCATCGGGTTGGGGTAAACAAGCACCATGGAAGCTGTAAGCACAAGGAGACAGAAGAATAGGTGTCTAGATGCCTACATAAGTCAACTGAAGACAGTCAGCAGCCCCCAAAGATGTTCCTGTGCAACTCTCTTCTACCATCAGCATCAAAAATATTTATGCCAAAGTGCAGAAGAATTTGAGAAAGAGGAAATCAGTAGGATACTACAGAAATCACCTTGGGAACTAAGCCAGGTTAATCTCACTGTTTCTGTGAAGTCAGCTGTATTTACACAAGCAGGATGCAAAACAAATACTGTAAATATACAGATAGTTCTAAACTTTTACACATCAGTATTGTAGCACGGGGGCAAATACACACCATACCCTAGCTGTAACATACTAGAAATTAGACGAGTTTCCTACACAGCTTGGTAGCTGTCTAATATAAATCACTCTCAATAAGACATGGAAAATGAAATAAAAGAACTCTGTAAGATGTTCTGAAGAGAGCAGAACAGCCTCATGGATAATCACCAAGCAACTCCATAACAAGCAAGGAATGAGAAACTTTGATGGTCACTGAACGCCAGGCGTCAGGGAATCTTATTTCAAAGATGTTTTGTTTGGACATTCTGCAACTGATTCTAAATTGGAAAGCAAACAGTGCTCCTTAAAAACACACATTCAATGCATATGCCAGAAAGATGACAGTAACCAACAAACCAGTGAGGAGCTCAGAGACTTTAACACGTTCCCTGTACCTTTATTCAAGTAGGTTTTGCTGGGCTACTTAGCTTATCTCAGATTGCCAAATGCTTGGTCTCTTATTTCATGATGCACCACTACAGACACTTCAGTATTTGGTAGCCAGTCTAATATGTACATGCAATAGTTTGTGAGAAATACCTAAAACTTTCTGCTATGAAAAAACTTAAGAGCATTGATGAAAATTGCTTGGACTTTCAGCAAAGAGCTATAGTTTAGTACCTGTAAAAAGGGTTTTACAAAAGTGGGAAAGAATTCATGCAATGGGCAGAAAAGAAGCTTCTGGCTGACAGTCAGACAGGTTAGGTCAGTGCATGCAAAAGCACAAGCTATTATCTACATGTACTATGGAAGGCTACGTGAGTGCTGTTTTGCATATACCTCACTTGCAGCTGCCTCATTTGCAGAATCATTTTCTGAAGATAGATTTGAAAACTTAATCCCATCAAGTTGCTGTGAATAGTGGCTGCCCACATAATCAGTGTCCTGACAGGTACTGATATAAATGGAAAAAGAAAAAAATGTGGACCTCTATTACTGAAATCTGATGAGGCCATGGAAACCCCACATAAAGATGCTCAGATGACTAAACAGCAGATATATTTTCAAAGGATTTTGTGAAGTTTCAAGGCAAGTCAAGAACTCCAATGCCAAGGGGTAACTCACAGGATATTAACTATGGAAAGATACCTCTGAAAATGTGGCTGAACACCATGTTAATACAGATCTAGCACAACGAAGGTTCTGGATGCCATAGTCTAGGCATGCCACTAACTGCCCTCAGCTGTGAAACCAAATTCAAAGTGCACTTAGTGCGTGATAAACACCACCTGCATATTGGCCTACAAACTTTTAACAACTTTATACAGCAAAAAGATTGCAACATAAGTACACATAAACACACTATCTTTTATTTATCAAAGATATAGAAGCGCTGCATTTGGCACAGGCCAGCAAGTCAGAGACAAGTCCTCCATGAACAGTTACTATATGAGCTTCTGCCAAAAGTCAATACAAAAACCAGCAGGACTTGATCCTTGCTGCTTTTTACCTGCAAAATTAATTTAACCTCCTAAACTAGCCTGTATGGCTATTTTGTGCCATTGTCATCTCTTCATTTTGCTGTGGAGTCATTCAGTCTGAAAGGAAATACAACACACACAACTGAGTAACAATAGAAGCTAGAAAATAGGTCTGTGCTTTGGGAAAAACTGAAGAGGCTTGATTCACAGAAAAAAGACTCAACAACTCAAATAGAGTTATAAGGCAGGTATGATTCTCCGGCGCTGGGGTGCAAGGGGATTTCTCCACAAAGCTCGCACACCAACAGCACATTTTACCAAAAACTTATAGAGTGTGACTACACATATTCATTGGGTTACATAACACAAACATACATATGCATGAGTAAGGCTGGCTTAGTTCGAAAGGCTGATGTCAACAGTTGATGTTCTCTTTGCACCTGCCCACTGCCTCCTGGTGGGCGTCTCCAGGGGTCTTTGAGAGGAAGGCTCGTAGCCTTTCTCACATTGTTTTTTTCCCTGGAGCGTGTGCAGATTGTCTCGGCCAATTTCTTGAATAACAAGAGTGATTTTTATCCAGTTTACTCATTCTATCTTATCTAAGAGAACCAATGGAACTTCTACTATCCGTATATGGCTATCTTTACTCATTACCAAGATTCCAACTAGTTAGAGCACACCTCTTCCCCAAGGACAAAAACACAATATTTTGCTGAACATTATAGTTCTTGGTAGATTTTCACAGTGAACTGCTTTGTTTTATGAACACAGTAGTCCTTGGTAAAATTCCACAGAACAGTCTGGGCAAACAGGATTCTTAGCAATATTAAAAAACCACTCTAAGTAATACTATAACTTGTTAAAAGTAAGTAAATAAGTTGCTAAGCAGTTTTCTATAAGTAAATAAGTCTCAATCATTTCCCTGTATCAGGCTCAGAGAAAGAAGTATAAATCCAATATATTGGCCAAAGCTAAAGCTGTAGATGGTGGGACCAGGGTCATTGGGCTGAGGTAACTCTCCTCCCAAAGAAAGCAGGCTGGAGGGGAGATTGAATTCTAAATTAGAAATCTAAATTCTGGCCTGGCTCCAATTCCAATCCACTTCAGAAGTCCTCTGACCAAAATCTGTAACACACAACTTCAGAATCAGTGACTTGTAGTTTATCAGGACATCCTACTCATCCTTTTTTCTTAGAGATTACTGGTCTAGATTCCTATCCATCATTAAATCACTCCTATATTTCACTACTCAGTTAATCAAGATCTGGGGTATATAAAACAACATTTAATGCACTTTACAGGTTTAAAAAAAAAAAAAATCATGCATTACATCCTGGTTACAGTGATAGCATTTCTGCCACTGGTTCTGCAGCATCATTCTTATTTAACATACTCCTGAGAGCCTAGCTCATCTTCAGGTTGATATTTACCATAAAAGAGTGTTATTCTTCCTTTGCCTGTAACTGTGAGCTCCCTAATTGCCTCTTTCACATACTTTCCATGATATTGATGTCTATTTGCAAAGATTAGGAATAATAAGTCACTAAATGAAAAATAATTAATAGATGAGAGAATGTTTTGCATCACACTTAGAGAACAGATACACATCTCAGTTTATGGCCTCTGCTAGCTACACCATTTTCCTCTATTGGAGGGATCAAAGAAAAGTCCAGTCCCCAAACCACTACAGCCTGCAGAACAATGTGACAGTTTAATCAGGCATAAGAAGTCCCCATGCTAAACAAACCCTCATTTGCAGCACGTCACCATACAGAAATAAGGCTTGTGCTGCAAATGCCAGTGGATCTGAGGTCATGGAAGAAGGGTGATATCTCAGGCATTTTTTTAACACTCTGAGAGAAGCAAAATGTTCACATACTCAACAAGCCCTAATAAAAGAGCTTAGGGTTTCATCAAAAGCATTTATTCAGTGGGTAAGCAAAATGTCATCTTCAAGAGGTTGTGCCCCAGCTTGAGAGAAAACAGTAACTGAACAGTTGACTCATACTTCTGTTCTGTCCAGTGCCCAGACTGTGAGGGATGGGAGGGTTCTGGTGGTACCAACAGAGCTCAGATGATGTAAGTTTTCAGAAGGGAGAAGTCTGCTCTTGGACAGTGCTTATCCCACACTGCTAGCCCCACTGAAGGTTTGAAGTCTAAACTAATAAATAACAATACCTCATATTC